CCAGGTCATTGTCTCCAAATCGCAGCTTCGAACAGACTTGAGACGCAGAATGACGCGACAGCAAGGCCTTAAACTGCAGGAAAACTCGCCCGATCCATGCAACAAGAGAGCGAGTGGGCAATTGGATGACCAAGGCAGTCAAATAGAGAGCGTCAAACATTTATCAGCGTCGCACGGCTACGAAGATGTTATACCAGATAGACATTCCACGGCTTCATCGTGCGGTTGAAAGTGACGCAACCAGGCGGTGGGGTAGCAAAAATCAAGTATGCGGCGGCGGCGGCGGCGACGTTGAATGCAGTGGTTGTTAGGCAAGAGCTCGTGACGGCACATGGAATTCGATGACGCATGATTCGAGTGATGTTGTGGATGTTGCTCAATATTTCACAAAGCACCGGCTTCCTGAAGTAACGGGATCAACTTGCCTTGCTTATGGAGCGCATCCACGTCCGAGCCACCGCCAATGCTCATGCCCTTGACAAACACATTCGGCACAGTGGCGCGACCTGCAAACTCGTTCAAATCTCCGTCGGCGACAGCAGCTGTGGGAAGCAACGAACCTGTCTTCGCTTCGAGCACATCCATGACATCGTTGCCGTTTGGAAGGCTGTCCACGTCAATCACAGAGTACTCCGCACCAACGCCAGAGAGGACTTGCTTGGCCTACGCAGTCGACGATGAGCCGGACAGGACCGCCAGCGACCAAGGCACGTACGAGAGTGCAGTACGGGCAGTACGCCGTGGTGAAGACGGTGATCGTATTGGCGGCAATCGTTGCCTCGACGAATTCTTGGGCGGCCTTGGACACCATGATCTAGTGCGTGGTGCGAGATGGAGAGTGCGTCGGTTCTTCCTTGGGTTTTTACATTAAGTTCTAATTTTGACACGAAAACGGAGAAATTCCGTGGAAGTCAGGTGAACACGCCATCGGATTGGCTAATCCGCAAGTTCTTGAGGTCGTTCGGCCTTGTCGGGGCGGGATGTCGGCCGTGGGGGAATAGCCCGAGGCCGAGTGCCGCGCGGGGTTGTGGTGTGAAGATGCCGAGGACGGAAATGGCGACTACGTTCCCCATGACGCCATCCAGGCGACGTCGCCATCCGCGCGTGCATATTGGAGATATAGAGTTGTTCAATCGAGTGTCGAATAGAGCCTCCAGATCCATCGAGCTGCCTGCCCCACCAACTTGGCATCAAACATGCGAGACACGATGACTCGATTCGTGGTGGTTCCACGTCGAGTAGGACGGGCGTGGTGCAGGTATACGACAGTGCATCTTGGGAAATTTGTGGTTTTGAGGGACATCAACTCGAGCGCACCCCCAGGCGGCCCTTTCCCCATGCATTCAAGCGTCCGGGGGTAGTAGACAACCTCAGTGGAGTCGCGCCTGCTACATCACAAGAGAAATAGTATCTTCACGGAGCGATTTGAATGGACTCGCGCTTCAATTGTATCCCTCTGTGCATTTTTTCCATGACATCGATCCCGCGTTCAAGTACTCGACAAACCAGCACTAGCACGCTGGAGAGGGTTTTCTTCGGGGGACCAGCGCAATGACCCCAGCAACACTCAATGTGGGCATACGAGAGTGGATAGGTATGGCAAATGCGTCTTGTACGAGATGGTGAAGCTCTCACCCAACATGGGGCGTTGTGGTACACCCGTGTGGCGAACACAGCTTCGAAACACCTTCTAGGGATTGGTGCAAGGTCAAGAAATCGAATAGGTCGGCCATTAATCGCGTTTTCAAAAGTCCACAAGAATGGAAGGAATGGCGATGGAAGTGTTTGAGACGACCCTACCACGGTGTCGAACGCAGGGCCTTTCGTGTCTTTCGGTGGCGTAGCCGTGTTCCAAGCCACCATCGTGAAATGTTTGCACACGGCGACGTCACTCGGTTGCATGACGGCTCCTCGGAGCTACAGCAAGCTGCTTCATGCGGATGGCTGACGTAGCTCAGCCTTGTGTGGGGTAATATCAGCCTCAAAGCTGTCACATTCGCCCCGCACATGTAGCCTGCCGAAGCACCAGGTATTTATAGGTAGTACGACATACAGGGGTCCCAAGTCGATCCATATCAACTTGCCCACACTCAAATGTTTCACCCGGAAGTTCATGATCCATCATCAATCTAGCCAGACCTGCACGCCGAATGTGGCCGCTCAGGGTCCCGTAGCTCGTCATGGCTCAGGTCGCACGATGATATTTCCAGGGCGGTGCCAAAGCCACGGCCGATGCAGGGATGTTTATGACCGCATATCGATCGCGATCTTTTGGGCGAAAATCGCACTTCAGAGAGCTACTGGACGTTCAAAACAGCCCAATGCAAAAAATATTGGATATATTTGCCATCATCAGTTGTTGCGCATATAGTACACGTTAACCACATTGTGTACAACAAATTCTCTCAAATCCTTTTCACTATTATTCCACATCCTGCAGTTAGACTTGAAATTTGTATTCGCATGAAATCGTTGTCGCATGCTAGTAACAAATAGAGTCAATTTCTGGAAAACAATTCAATATTCCGAAGAAAAAATATATGATGAATATCATGATTATGAGACACACTTCTGCATTGTAAAACGAACAGAGGGATTTCGCACTTCAGGGAAGTATCAAACTTAAGAGGGCGACTCGGAATGGCTCGTTTCCTTCCAGGGGCGCATGACGCCGAACAAATTATGGGAAAATCGGGGGATATTTGAAATTTATAAGTGGCTACGAGACGGATGGAGCGCGGAGGAGGAGACGGGACGCCGGTGGACGACCGAGACGACATGGACGTCGACGAAATGTTCGGTTCGGACACGCCATCGTCAGGGTCGGACTCGGACGTGCCGCTACGACCTCCGAAACCCTCCTCAACGAAATCTGCTCCGTCGTCCACCCCATCGTCCGTGTCACCTGCAACGGACGAGAAGAAGGTTGCCGCGACGTCTGCTTCAATATCTACTACGTCTGCCGCGACCATGGACTCGACAGTGTCGAATGTTCCAGCGACCGACGACGAAGCCTCCGAAGACAACGACCATGAATTGACGACATGGGCCGCCATCGACATGCAGCCTGCTATGAACTTGGTACGTGCGGTAAATCTCTCTTTCACGATGGGAGAATCGACTAGGCTTTTCTAACTCCACTCCTCGTAGATTGACAAGTTGACGAAGACCTCTGTGGATGCTGCCAAGGACTTCAATGCCTCTGTCGTGTCGACCACGCACCAACTTGTCAGTGGATGCGACTCCGTTCTCTTGGAGATTAAACACATTTCTGACATCCGCGACACGATGAAACGAAAGGCTGCTTCGTCGGCCCATTCCACACCATCTGTGACGATGGCGTCTCACGCGTTGGGCACATCCATGTTGCCTGCCTCGTCGTCGTCAACCGTCCCGCCGCCTTCGGTGGTTACCACGTCGGCGGCAACTCCGTCTTTGGACAAGGGCACCGAAGATCAAACCGATCGCGTCTTGTACAAAATCGAAGCAAGCATAGAGAAGTTTCGCGAACTGGCTGAAATGATCCAAACCACGAGCATGCACCATGAAGCGCTGCTCGTCCAGAAGCTCCATCTCCCTTCGTCGTCCATCCAGACAATGTTCTCCTCCATCCACAACGCTGCGGCGGCTGCCACGTCTGCCGCGATCGCGCAAATCCGACATCACATCCCGCGCACGTTGACCTCTGAGCAACGAACCAAGCTCCAGACTTGGTACTACAGTTACCCCCGTCCGTTAGCTGACGAACTCGAGCTCATGAGCTCTATCTTGAGCTATCCGCCGTACTCGACGACGTCGTTCAGCCTCGTCCATCCGCAGCATGTTCGTGACTGGTTCAAGCGACGGCGCTTTCGTGAGCGCATGCGACTTGTCGTGCAGGCAGTGGAAGCAGCCGGGGGGTCGAATGATCCAGTGTCCCTCCACGCCGCAGAAGCCACCGTCCGCGCTCGCATGGAGCTCCGCATCCAGACCCTGAGGGAAGCGGTGAACCCAGACGAGTTGGTGCGAGAACTGGAACACGTCCGTCTGTCGTCGTCGCTGTATTCGAACGCAGCGTCGTCCTTCAGCCACAAGCGCAACTTGGATCAGTTTCTCGCGGCAGCTCAGCACGCGATCTTAGCTCCTGGAGGACCGCAAAGCGCCGATAAGAAGCCACGGCTTTTGCAGGCGGGTGGCCATGGTGGTGCTTCAGCTTCCTCGTCGACTCTGTTCCATGTCAGCTCGGGTGGTGTCGATGACGTGGATGACGCGATTGTGGTCAAAGTTGCATCAAAATTTGAAGTCGAAGCGATCCAGCGAAGACTGCAGACCCTGCTGCAAGCCCCCAAGACCACTGCAAACACGAACAGCATCCAACAAGCGATGGATGTGCTTCGGTCCCTTGACATTTCAAGCGAACTGAGACAAAGCACGGGTCTCGTTTCAGACTTGAAACGCGTGCTCAAGGTGTACAAGAAGCCGTCGCTGTTGCGGCGAACGACGGAAGCACTCATGGAGTCTCTGGGGCAGGCGACAATGGCGAAAAAGACAAAACGGTCATCGGGTCCACCACCAGTCGTTGTGTCTGCCTCATCGCCGCCACCACCCCCGCCGCTAGGGACGCAGCCTGCTACTGAAATCAAGCCTGGTGGGACTACGTCAAAGCGAAAGAAGGGGGCGAAACTTCTCCGCCCGATGAAATTCTCGATGCAGCAAGTGGCCGCCCTCGAAACGTGGTTTCAAAACACGTTCAAGCCGTCTCAAGCTGAAATGGAAGAATACCTCGATGCACTGAACGCCGTGCCACTGCGCGATCCAAAGCAAACCGTCGACGTGAACATGACACAGCTTCGACGTTGGTTCAACAAGCGGAGATGCCTGCGTCGCCCTCCATATGCATTGATGACGACCAAGGACAAGAAAGAATTTGGCGACGACGATAACGACGAAGTGGGGGGCACCCCGGACGACTATGATGAGGACGAGGTCGACGAGGATGACGAGGGAGGAACCCCTGCTTCACAGACGGCAACAGGCTCGTCTGTCGGAGCGCTGGCATCCGATGATGATGATCAAGCATCCAGTGACGACTCGTCAAGCGATTAAACTATCACGTACCAATGGAGACCGACCTTGTGACGAGTGGTTCCCTCGCCGTTCCTACTATTCGTCTACCGATATCCCTTCGTTCTGCGCATGCGCCTTCGTACCTGCGAGGTCGTTTCCGCCGCCATTGACGCCATTCCATCACCATAATAAGTGCACGAAATTCAAATTTCCCGGATGATATCCCGGATACCTTGCTCGCCGGATAAGACTCGTTATCCGGATACCTTGGCGCAGTTGCTGGCGGCAAGGTCGAATTGCGATGGGCGAGATCGAAGGGCAGATTGCGTCGGGGGTTAAAGTCTTCATGGCAAGCGCGATTGCGCGAAGCGATACCCCTGCCCCTCTGCATATATCTGAGATCTTCCATGCGGCCACACAGTTCAAAGACCACGCTGCACGATGGGCGAGGGAGGTGCATGAACAGTTACGAGCGGATGGCCGCCTCCATCAAGTCGGCAACCAGTTTCTGGTTGTTCCAGGTGTTGATGTATCGGCTCCGCCTTGCGTCGTACTTCCAGCATCAAGTGCACCGACATCGGAACTTCCAGCAGTGCCGTCCGTCGTTTCCGCACCGACTGACTCAATGAATGATGGAACTGTTGCACCGCCGACGTCGACCATGCCGCCACAACTCCCAGTTGAAGCAGCTTGTTCTCCACCAAAACCAGCGCCGACCACCCCGTTGGTCGGCGAATCGGAACTACTTACGTTCCTCGCCTCGAACAAATCCATCCGAGTTGGGTCAGTGAGCACGATGGGGCAACTACAATCCCTTCTACAGCGCTTTCACGACACCTTTTCTCCGCTGGCGCCGTTTCGGTCATGGTACACTCTCTCACACTCTCTTTTTCCCCATGGCGTCTCAGGTTAATGGGCACAGGTGGAAAGAACACGGCAATAACGTCGTCCAGGTCATGCTCGACCGCCTGGTGCATCTGCAGCTTGTCCGAGTCCACGATTCGTCGTCCACTCTCAAGCTCACGTGGGATGTGAATGGCCTCGGAAAGCATGTACCCTCATCGGCATCTCCGTCCAAGGCTCCATCTACGACAGCTGCCCCGCCGTCGTGGACAACTGCCATGGCGGACAAAGACCTGGCGCAAGTGAAGAAGAGCTTGCTGCATCAACTCAAGCTGTTTTCGTTCTACCGCATCCAGAATATCCATCAGACGATCCGCGCCAAGTACCCGCCGCCTCAATCGTTTGACCTGGACGCGTATGCGGATCACCTCGTCCACATGATTGAAAAGGACAAACGGCTGGTCGTTACCGAGGACGACGCGGGCAATCCCGCGTTCACGTGGGCCGACAAGTCGAAGGTCGATGCACTAAAGGACCCCCTCGTGCCCAACAACCGCCATGTCATGGACGCATGTGCGACGTCCACTGCGGCCACGATCGCGGAGACCCTCGCTCAGCACACCAACGTTCCAATGTCCACATTGGACGCCAGCCAGCCGAGCTCTGTGCGTGACAAGAAGGTCTGGCTCGACGCTGTCCTGGCCGCTCTGTGGAAAGAACACAAACTCCGAGTTGACGTCCTCGGCGACGTGCTGGCCCGAAGGCAGGAGAATGCAGCGGACTCGAGGAAGCGCGCGCGGTCGCCGGAGCGCCAGTCGTCAGCAACGTGGGACAAGGATACGGCTGAGGGGGTCGGCCAAGAAGGGCTGTACTTCAACGAGAAGGAACGTCGCGACGACGACGATGACGATGAGACGGAAGATGATGAAGAAACCGTTGCGCGCTTGCGCAAGAAGCACCGCTTGCACGAGTATGCTGCGTGCAGTCGTCCATGATGATGACATGAAGTGCGTGTAGGGTCCAGCAGCCTGTCATGGAATGGTACACGCCACCGCTCATGGAGCTTCCGAGCATCGTTCCTGTTCGCCCGACCGTGATCGAGTCGTCCGAGTACAAATTGCAGGTGCGTCATCGCGCACGGAAGCTGGGAAACGATGCACCAACGAATTCATGCCTCCCACCTCCAATGTGTAGAAACAAAGGGCTCTGTTCATTCGAGACAATGTGGAAGTGCCGTACCAGCAAGCGCCGGACCTCCCGACCAAGCCTATCGCACTGGACTACCCTTACTGAGCCATGTAGAATCCTCGATAGAACGAATATGTGGCTAATCGAAGCTTCACGATGTCTCGTTGGAACGCGTCGTGATTGCCAAGACCTTGGCACAGTCGGTGACGAGGTCGTCTGCTCAGCACGCCACGGCAGTTGGCCCCAGACCGCTTCAAAGCCGCTTCTCTTCCTTTTTTCTCCCCGCGGCTATGCAAACGAGCGCGTGAGCTGAAGCAGGCTGGGGAGCATGCATGCGTTCGGATGGGAATGGATACGTCGGGTTCGAGAGAGATGTCGAGGAATGGGTACTGCCGCCCGACCGTGGCTAGATGTCCTTGGGTGATTGGCTCTCACACGTCGCGGTCCCTTTGTCTTCAAAGATGTGGTTGAAGCGACCGATGGCGCACGAACGCCTGGAAGCGGACCGGGAGAGCACGCAAAGGTCCCTGCCACACGTGCCTGTACACTCCTCGAAGCACGGGCATCCAGCTCGTAGCAGCATTCCACGGCACGTTTGCCAACCTCACAAGGTCAACCATGGGCGGATGAGTCGAACCATACATTGACCACAGACAGGTACATCCTGGCTCATCTGCACGTTGTTAGAGCTCAATATTACAGACCCTGGAGACCATGGCGGTGAAGCATCCAACTACCGCCAAATCCAAGTACGACGTGAGTTGCGTTGAGTTCTTGTCTGCAACATCGGCAGGTCGGGGGGGTGACGAGGAAAACGACTTGGCCACAACAAGTGGCGGGGGATGGAGCGGGCCGATATGAAATGATTCAACCAGCCCAGTGCGTGAGCTCCCAACCAAGCAAAAGGCTCATTCGTTCAGCTATCACGACGCGTCAACCTTTGGTGAAATGGCAAGATCGCCCGGTAGGCGAAGGCTACGATCCATAAACCCACGAGAGAGCATGACCAAGCATCAATCGCCCTTTGTTTGCATTTCATGGAACGCCAACCACTCGAGGCAGTGGCCCTCGAGACCAACATGGCAAGTATGCAGCTTCAAGTAAATCCGTGAAGCACGCGAGCCTACCTCCACCGTCGACAACACCACGCAACGTGCGATTGTACTGTCGGTCCAATCTATTTCTTCTGAAGCCATACTGCAGCCAACAGCTAACTCTGCGACGACCGCGGGTTGTCGGCCGCCTTGAGCCGTCAAGCGCGGCGTCCACTTAGACAGCCCATCAAGCTGTGGAGCAATGCCACCTTCAGATTGCATGTATAGACTTGTAAAATGTATCCTCTTGTGCACAGTATTGAGAGTGTTGGTTTTATCTTCTAATAATATATCAGGTCAAGAAGAAGTCTTCTCGACGTGACAACTTGAACAATATTGTTTGGAACCGACGTGCCGGTGGGTGCAGCATCCGCCGTGGAAACGTTCTCGACTCATGCTGTACGAGTAGAAGTAAGGCGACGGACGATATTTCGTTCCTGACGATATGCTGGACCTGCACGAAGTTTTCACGGCGGCGACGCGGGACGCACTCTTCAACGACGTACGGCAGACGCGTCTGCCCAACGGCCTCCGCGTCGAGTATGCTATGCACGGCGACGACACCGCTCGAGACAAAGTCGTGATGCTCATGGGAATGCAGGGCGAGAAGGAAGCTTGGCTTCCTCTCGTGTCTTCGTTCTTGCATCCAGCGAACGGCGCTGCGTCGTCGACGTATCAACTAGTGACAATGGACAACCGCGGTGTCGGCGGCTCCGACAAGCCTTGGGGATGGTACTCGACGTCTCAGATGGCCCGCGACGCGCTCCACCTCATGGATCATCTGCGCTGGTCCAAAGCACACATCGTTGGCTCGAGCATGGGTGGCATGATTGCCCAAGAGCTTGCGTACATGGCACCCGAGCGTGTTCTGTCGCTGGCTCTGATGGTGACCACCCCTGGCTTTCGACAAGGCGCGCTGCCAGGCCTGCCCCAACTTACATCCTATGCATCCCTCGTGCAGAATTTGCTTTACCCAACCCACCACCGCGTCGCGTCCACAATGATCAGCGTGCTATTCCCCGAGTCGTACCTCCAGCAGGCATCGTCGACAAAAGGCGACGCAGACACAACCATGACGACGGAGGCCGTGCTGTACAAGCACCACATGGAGCGCCTGAGCCACGTCCAGATGTCGCTGAGCGGCATCATCGGCCATTACACCGCTGTGCTCTTCCACAACGTGAGCCGCGACCGGCTCAAGGTCATTGCGAACTCGGGCTTCCCCATCATGATCATCGGCGCCAAGATGGACCGGATGCTCCATCCAGACAACTCTGAGTATCTCGCGCAGACGCTAAGCGGCAAGTACACGACAGCTATCATCTTTGAGCACGCGGGACACGACGTTCATGTCCAGCACCGTCGAGAGGTTGCGGAAGCGCTCGGTCGGCATTTCGCGTCGGCAAAGACGGCGCATTGCCCACGGCGCTCATCCAGTGCCACGTCGTCCAGGAAGAAGAAGCGGCACGCCAAACGACGCCATGAATAGATCGGTGTAGCGTCGAAAGACATGTCCAGTGTACTACATAGCTCGACGTGCAAAGAAAATGGTGTGGATGCCGGTCAAAGCGGCGCAACGGAATTGAAGCGCACGAAAGCTCTGTTGTAGTTGCGGATCCGATGGCATGAGTCGGCGCGTGGGGCAGCGTATCCCGCCCACCATCCGCCTACAGCGCATGCATTGACGAGATGTGGATGAACTCGTGGATTCAAACAGCGCCTCCTCCGCCGCGACGCCCCCATCTCCGTGTCAAGAGCGGCCCAGTCGAGCGACGAGACAAGCGCCGTCAGCGGTGCAAGAAACCGTACGGAACGATCGCCCGGCTTGGAACGTTCCTGAATCTCGACTCATTGAGAGGGTCGCACACCAGGTGGCAGGTTCGATACGAGCGCTTCATGGCTTCTCGTGCGGAGACTTCCGCACCAGGCAAACTCGTGTGTGAATCGCTTTGCCGCATCCCCGACCCCCACAAGCCCGTGCAGCATGAACAACCCCATGGCGCGCGCGGGACATGCGCCGCCTGAATTTGTAAAGGAAGGACAAAACTGTCATGGGAAATATCACTCCTGGCTGCTGACCATTGTATTTTCCAAGCTCCGACACATCTCACTTGAAATCACTCCAATTTCATCAACATTTTGAACAATCCACATGCTGTTTCTGTCATTTCGTGAAATATTTCGCGAAAAGGCGACTGTTCCAGGGCGTTTGCATATCCTTGGCAACTGTAATTTCCAAGCGCCACCTGTCAACATTGCGCCAGTCGATCGGGTGGGGCAAGCCTGCAGGGTGCGAGGCTGGCGCTCCCCGCTCGCCATTCTGCATTTCCATGGGTCTTGGTGAAGTCCTAGCCATTGCGATCGGCATCGCACCCATTCTGGCTGGTGGAACCTTCACGGGGATTGCCACCACGTACGGCCCGCCCAATGGCGAGAACCCCCAAGGCGGCAACTGCGCCCTCATGAAGTGGCTGCCGGTAGCCCCTCAGTTTCACGTGGCCATCAACGACAACCAGTACGACTATGGCGTCCACTGCGGACGATGTGTGTCCGTCACGTGCGTCGACGCGCGGTGTCCAACCAAGCGCTCCGTCATGGGCCAAATCACAGACCGGTGCCCCGAGTGCAGCCACGGCGACCTCGACATGAGCCTGCCCATGTTCCAGCAAGTGACGGGGTTCACCACGGACCGCCTCGCGATCAGTTGGGACTTTGTCGACTGTCCCGTGGCCGGTGGCGTCCAAGTGTGCGCCAAGTCCGGCAGCAGCATCCACTGGTTGTACGTCCAGCCAGACAACGCCGTGAACGGCGTCAAGAGCATGCGGATCAACGGCGGCGACGCGCCGATCTTTGCGTCGGCGTACTACTTCATGTCGACGGTGCTGGGGACGGTGGACTTGAGTCGGACACAGGTCGAGATGACGTCGCACAGTGGGGAAACGATACGAGCGACGGTGGCGTTGGTGGCCGA